GAGCTTTATGAGGCTTTGAAAGTCAGCTCTGAGGAAACACAAGCTCATGTACTCACCTGGGCTGTAAAGAGGAAAGTTAGTGTTTTGGATGATCTGTAGACGTGTGGGCTCTTGGTCCATCGGTCTGGTGACCAGGACTGAGTGTCCCTTCCAGCCACAAGCAGAGGGAGGCCACTGCGGGGCGGGAGACCCACCTGTTGTCTGGGTCTGGTAACAACCCCGGCAAGTTCACGCTGAGTTCCCGTGTCACGAATAATGAGTCCCTGGGTGCCCAGGGCGCAGTGACAGCAGCTAATGAGGCAGAACAGTGTGTGTGATGAAACAATGACATTTTTTTGAAGTCAGCAATCTGAGGTGGAGATCAATAAGTGTTTTCCAGGGTTAATTTACTGGTCACCATTGCTGACACGCCGTTAGAGCTGGAGATGAGTGTGGGGTTCAGGAGTGGGGCTTCCTCTGGGTAAGTGGCGAGAACATCACAGGTTTATTTCAATAATCTGAAACCTGGAGCATCACTCCTAACCGGTCTTCTCCAGGGATCCTAGCACCCGTCCGTCAATTAGCCCTGCCCCAGCCTGGACCCAGATTCCATCCTACCTGACCGCACCTAGCGAGGAAAGCTGTTATCCACCTGCTCTTACATGGGTTTCAGGGTTGAATGACTTCTATTTCTGTTTGTTTGGGGAAATGGTAACCAGGAGACTCATTTCTGTCTGTAATAGATATTGTATTATATTGCAGGGTTGTCCTGTGTATAAATCAGATAGAATTGAGAACACCTGGGCATTTGTCTTGCCTTTTTCACAGGCTCACGGTTTGAGTCGAACCGAGTCTTTTGATCTCTCTGTGCCTCAGTTTATCTACCTGTGAAATAGGGGTAATAATCACCTCGAAACCATTGTTAGAACCCATGCAATAAAAAGAATGTTTGTTGAGCCCTTGTTCCTTCCTCTGCACGCACTGAGATAAATGCTTCACTTGCACCGCCAGGTCAAGCAGGTGACACCCCAGGAGGCAGGTTCCACTGTGACTACTGTCCCCCGATAAAGGGACAGTAAGTTTAGAGCAGTTAGTCTAACTTCAGGTCTGAAACTTGCCTTGTGGTCCTGGAGCCAGCAAAATACCAGGAAGGGGGCCAGGCTGCTCTCGTAAAAAGAAAAATGGGACACCAGCTGACCTTGAGGAGAAAGCAGAAACCTGAAATTATAAACAGGGTTTCGTAGCTGCTTGAGAGCGAGGGACACAGGGCAGGTGCTCAGGCCTGGGGCTTATGGCAGGTCCAGAGCCTGGCTTTATGGAGCCGCTTGTTTAAATTAATTGTCCTGGTGAAAAATCCAGCAATGATCTGAACTTTCAAGGCCCAGAGTAGGAGAGAGGGAAGAAAAACTGAATCTAAATTATGAGGAACAAACACTTTTCATAACTTCAAAAGTTGCTCATAAACCAATAATGAAGGAAATTTAAAGTGACATCAGCTGACAGTCACAACATACTGTCCTGGAAAGCAAATCCAATCTCAAGATAAATATATGTTTAAGAAAAATCAAGTCTTTTATCCAAGTTGCTTGGGAAAAAAAAAAAAAAGGAGTGAGAGAAAGAGAGCAAAGGCTACAAGGAGCCGCAAGTGGGGAGGAGGCATTGAGGAGCCCCCCACGAATGTGCACGGGGTGCTTTCAGACGGAAGGACTCAGTCTCAGAATTATTGATTCGCTGACTCTCTGGTGTCACAGCGACTCCTGAAAAAACACCCGGTGGCAGTTCTTCTGGGACTGATGACTGCTGGTTCCAAGCTAGGACGTTTCTCGTTCAGAGGCTCTTCCCCAAAGGCAGCAGTTCGCCCGCTTTCACCTTGCTAGGACTGGCGCTCCCCAGAGAGATGCAAAGGCCTCTCCATTTGACGGGGAGATATTTGCGGCCATAATCTAAAGATGCGAGAAGGGTTAAAGCCCCAAGTGGCAAGACACTGAGCCAGGTCTCCTCGACAGACAGAAACAGGTTACACAAACACAGCCCACATTTCAGATGACAATTACAGATCAACGACATGGCGGCCCCAGAACTTGAACCATAAATAAATGTCAGTAAACGACACCAGGGTTGTTACAAAAATGACCAGATTTGTCAGTCAAGTAGGCAGCAGCATTAAGAAAAATAAACCTGGTAAAAATTGTTTTATAATTCAGTTTTCTGGAAGAGGAGATGTTTGAAATATAAGAGCAAGGGCCAGGGCGTGGACGTGGAAGGTGTTATTGGCTGTAGGATTTCAATAGCAAGGGAACAACGAGTCAAAAGGAGACGCAGACACCAGCGGCCACTGGCGGAGGCTCGGCTCGGACGCTGATCTGGCCCTTCCCGGGCATGAAAGGGCAGGCCATCTGCTCTCCTCCTGACCTTTAATGTTTCTCTGCAGCTCTGTATTAACAAGGCAACAGCCAGTCTAAGGAGATAATGCCATCTGGTGTCACGGAGATACGGAGCGGGATAATCTATTAGATGGATAATACAGCCAAGCCTGTGGAATTACACCCAACTGCCCGGGAACTACTAAAAAGGATGTGTGCGGGAACTTGGCTGACTCTGGACTAATCGTCCCGGGGAAAAACGCATTCATACAGTTTGCCCACCCCCTGCTTCTCTGAGAGCAAAATGATCAAAGTTTTCTGTGGATCGTTTTCGTAACGATGAAAAATAAAAATAAGTTGGCGGCTTCCAGGCGGAGCCAGTCCTTCTATTAAGGCCACGAATCCGGTAAGGGGTCCGACGGGAATTCAGAGTGAGCTCCACGTCCATGGAATCACCATGAGTTAGAAAATGCAAAATTTACCCAAAGGAATCCTGGCCAAGCGTTTCCACTTAAGGCTAAGACTTGAGATCTTTACTTACAGGACCCGAATGTTCCCGAGAACGACTTCGGGGCCAGGGAAGAGGGTGGGGGCTGCTCAGAAGGAGGCGGCGTTCTGCTCTGCGGCCAGCTGTCATATCTTTTGAAGGCCTTCTGTAAACAAGAGTGAAGTACTGAGGAAAACAGATTTATTGGCGCTTTCCCAAGGACTCCGGAGTTTATCTAAGCGAGTAAACAAACAAAAGGTCCCTGGTTTTGAGACTGATAAGGGGGCCAGCAGGGCGCTTGGTACTCCTCACACACCCGGGCCTCCTGCCACTTGTGTCTGAGAACAAACTGGCCGGACAGGTTTTCCAGACCCCTCTGCACATTCCTGCAGGGCTGCGCTCCCCGAATTACAGTCCTCAGGGGTCTCGTTTCATTTTCCGAAAATTGGTAACAGGCCACTGCGGAGGATGCAACGGGGAGGGTATGCAGGCAACTGTTGTGTGGTTTGACTGACGCGGAGAGGCCGAGGGGCTGAGCGCAGGAGGGCCAGGGCCTCCTGACGTCCTGTTAGAAACCAGAACCCAGGAAAGTTCTGCCTCCAAGTTAGCCAGAGCCCCGGGACTCTGCAGCCCGCGTTTTCCGTCGGATAATAATCTCACCATCTCGATTACCAGCAGACCATCTCATCAGTGATTTACCCCTATCCGAGGTGCCCAGGCGGGGGCCCCGAGCTCTGGGTCCACATGCCTTCAGGAGAAGACTCCGCATAATGCACAGGCCTCGTCTGCAAAATGGTGATGAAGTTTGTTTTTTTATTCCGTTAAAAACAGGCATTAGTGTCTATTACGCTCTGATCACTATACGAAAGGCTTGTAACAGCAACCAAAACCACACACGAATGTCTGCCTCACAGAGTTGACTTTCCAGGAGGGAAAAGAGACCACAAAAGTAAACTCATTCGACGAGCATTTACATATGTTATGGCTTGAATTGTGCCTCCCAAGAAAAGGTAGCTCGGGGTCTTAAGCCCCCATACCTGAGAGCGTGACCTTGTTTGGAGAGATTGTTTTTACAGAGGGACTAAAGTTAAAATGAGGTCATTAATGCAGGCCTTGATTCAACAGGACTGGTGTCCTTATAAAAGGGGAAGTTTGGACACAGCCATAAACAGGGACGACAGTGCAAAGACGCAGGGAGAACGCCCTCCACAAGCCAAAGGATGCCAAGGGGCACCAGTGACCCCCCCAGATGCCAGGAGGCGGGCCTAGAACAGGTCACCCCCTCACAGCCCTCAGAAGGCTCCATGATCTTGGACTTGGGGCTTCTCGAAGCATGAGACGATGCATTTCTAAGCCACTCGGCTGGTGGGGCTTTGTTCCATCACCCCTGGGACAGTAACATAGTGGACTGGAAGGTGATAACTGCAGAGACAGAGAGACAGTCCAGGTGGTCATGGGGGCCGAGGGCAGAGAGGAGGCCGCAGCGTGAGTTAGGGAGGGTCTCTGCAGACCTCGCTGAAAATTCTGGGGTTGATCATGGACCTGGAGGACCAAGGAAACTAGGCTAGTGGATATTTGGGGGAAGCCATTCAAGCAGAGGCAAAGGCCAGTGCAAAGGCCCTGGGACAGGAGCGTGCCTGGTAGAATCGAGGAGGAGCCAGGAGGCCATCGGAAAGGGGAGGAGCTGAGGTCAGGCCAGGCCAGGCACCGGTTTCTCCCTTGAGTCAGTGAGGCCCTGTGGCGGCATCTTAAGCACAAGCATGAAAAGGCCTCCTTCATGTTTGAGAAGAATAAACATGTGCTCTATTGACAAGCGATGCCAAGGGGGAGAGAGAAGCAGGTAAAGCGGTTAGCCGGGGCAGCCCCTGGGCGGGCGAGGAGCGGGGGCGCGTCGTGCCTGGCGGGGTGGGGGTGGCGCTTCTGCAGGTCATCTCGCTCCTCACAGAAGTATCATGCGTGCGATTCCTTTTAGTGGTCGGACTATTTGAAAAGAGTTGCCATAGAAAAATCAAAGTTTTAACTGAATCGCTTTGCTCTGCACCTGAAACTAACATTATAAATCAACTATACTTCAATTAAAAAAATTTTTTTTAAGAAATTCAAAGTTTAAGTTAAGATCAAAGAAGCTACTTACACAATATTCAATGAAATGGAGACACACATCAGTTTTGTTTTAATGAGTAAAAACTGCAGACTAACCAGGAGGCTTCTGAAATGCACCCACATGGAGCTGGCTTTTCTAAGGACACCTAGGTATCGTGAGATGGCTTAAGTTTTTACATCAGATATTTTTTCCAGAACCATCTTCTCAAGCCTTTAGTTGCATGTAAATAGTTGAATATAATCTAATTTGTTTTTCAGACAAAATATGCTAGATGTATTAGTTTGGTGAAATCACGCTCTTAATAAAAGGAAACAAAGAAGGGACACGGGGAAGGGTTGGAATTTATTTGTATTTGTTGTATGTGTCCCAGGTCCAGTATCCTCCGTCGCTACAAACACGGTGGTGGAATTTGGGTTTACGTGCCCCCCTCTGGCCCTGGTCTCGGTCCTCGCGTCTGTCTGAGTGGCGTGCTCGCAGTTAATGGAGTCCACCGTGGAGTGTTTGCTGCTTCTGTTTGAAATGAAGCATCTGATCTTTATCTGCTGTGACAGGCTTAATGCCTTTCTTCTCTGACAAATTTTCAGCTGAAGAAGAATGCAAACACGCTATCGGTACAGTTACATAAAGAGCTAATCTGAGCAAAAGCCGGTACCGGCAGCTCCCCTCCTAATGCGCAGCAGAAACCTGAAGTAGCCGCACTTGCTAGAAGAAGAAACAGAAAAAGAGCCGATGCTCTGTGCACCCTTCCCGGCACTGCCTCGGCTGCGCTGGCCTCTGACGGGGCAGAGACGGAAGACAGAGCTTTAGCTCAGCAGTAGCAGCATCTGTCACCACCCCTCCCAGGGCGGGCGGGCGCACGGTCCCCCAGGAAGCAGGTGAGAGCTGGAGAGAGGACCAGACCCAAGCACTCCCCAGGACCAAGCGGAGCTTCTCTCTGGCCCTCAGACTGGTTCTACCAAACGCAAATGCTAATTCTGTACTCCTCATGGAAACATGAGGCTCTGAAAAGTAAGTTTACCCATCATCTACCCACAGATCTAATGCATGAACGGACCTGGCCAACGCGGGCAGCTGTCTAGGTGCGTCTAAACTTCCCCACCAGGCAGGCCCCGCGGGTCTCAGAGATGGAAGGAGCTCGCCAGGGGTGGCGAGGTGGGTAATTCTGCTGCAGGGCCGAAACACCCCGAGTGCGCCCGAGACAGGCCCTCCACGGTAAGGCGCTGCATTTCACGTACGAGGAGTCGATCACGATATATGGTGATATTTTAAGTTGATTCTCTTTTTCTTTTTCTTTTTTTGCGTTAAGCTTCATGTCAGAGAGAGGAAATCTGAAAAAAAATTACAGGGTAGCAATTTCTGACTGACCTGCCTATTGGGCTCACGGAGAAAACGGAAATTTAACTCACAGTGGACTCCGAGCCAACGGGGCCACCGGGACAATGGGGTTCGTGAACCAGAATTTCCAAACCTGTTTTTGTGTCCAGTCTAAGATACACTGAGATCTTTGATGTTCACTTTCGTGGTGGCCGGGCTTGTCCTTCGTCGTCCCCTCCCCCGATCCCGCAGAGCTTCCCCGGGGGGCCTGGTCTCCTCCCCGCAGTGACTGTTTCATCCTGTACTCCTGGCTTGCTCTCTGCCCTGCAGACGTGCTGGCCGCCTGCCTGTCCCTCGGCCGCTCCTACCGTGATCCTGTATCCATCAGGACTTGTGTGTTCCCCGTTCCTTCTGCTCAGAAGACCTAGCTCCGCGTCCTCCTTCCTCAGAGAGCCCATCTGCAGTGCCCGGCCTAGGTCAGCCCCCGCCCCTGCCCTCATCCCTCCCTCGCATCCCGTTCCTGTATCTCTTGCACTGACCTCCTTCTGGAACTTTCCCATCTCTCTCACCAGAATGTAAGCCCCTTGACAGGTGGCTCCTCATTGCCTTGTCCACTGGCATATCCCTGGGACCTAAGTCAGTGCTTGCACCCACCAAGGACGTGGGACGTGCCCTTGGCCACGCGCTGGCTCCTCTGGGAGGCGTAGATGGCACATCGCAGCCCTCACCCACTCAGCAGGCGAGGCATTGGCAGAACTCCGTCAGCCGTTTAAAACGCAGACAGCTTTCTGTGATCAAAGAAAATGTGTACTTTCTTTTTTCTTTTTTTTATTGAAATGTGTTAATTTCTTGTGTACAGCATAGTGATTCCGTCATATATATATATTCGTTTTATATTCTTCTTCATTCTGGGCTATTATGAGGGATTGAATATAGTTCCCTGTGCTTTACAGTAAGATTGCTGTTTGTCTGTTTCATATACAGTAGTGTGTACCTGCAAATCCCAAACTGTCAATTTATCCCTCCGCCCCACTTCCCGCCTGGTAACCGCAATATTGTTTCCTACGTCTGTGAGTCTGTGTATAGTCTGTAAATAAGTTCATTTATCTCGTCCTTTAGATGCCACATGTAAGTGATATGGTGTGGTACTTTTCTTTCCTTCTGGCTTACTTCACTTAGTGTTACAGTCTCCAGACCCATCCATATTGCTGCAAATAACATTCTTTCTTTCTTTTTTATGGCTGAATAGTATTCCATAAAAATGTGTGCTTTCAAATAACAAAAAATAGACCTAAACATTCTTAGAAAGCTTCAGTTAAGAAAGAGTTTGCAATTTCTAACATGTGTGCTGTAAGATCTTATTGGTGGTTTTCTGTTTTTGTCTGGGCCAGCTTTGCAACATCAAAAACTTGACCCACAAAGCACAGGACCCCTGGAAAGGTTAGAAGCATCTGAGAAATGAAATGTTTTTGACTCTTGATTTGGGTTTATTTTACTATTTTGGAAGTTGAAGTAAAACATCTCTTGTGAGCCTCTCAAGATTGTCTCATTATGTAAGCTGTGACAATCACAGGCGGTGCCAATGCATCTCAGTCACTGACACTTGTCCTGCCACTTCACATGGAACCGAGAAGTTAAGGGACAACTCCAGCAGAAGTGCCATGAAGTGAAAGTACTGAGTAAGGAGTGGTGCTTTATGGTTTAACGCCTGTTTCTGACATTCGCTAGTTTCGTGGGTTTGGTAAATTACCAAACTATTCCATGTCTGGTTAGCTACCCATCAGTTGGGAACGCACACAAATAAATCTCACACTAGTGAGAGCAATGCTGCAGTCATTGCATAAAGCATCAATGGTGGCGTGGAATTCCATGAGCTGTTCTCATCTTTGTTAAGCTCTATGTCACGGCAGAGATGATTGCTAAAGTGATGACATACCTACTATGTCTATGTTCTTAGAAGATTCTGTGCTATAAGAGCAGAAAGATTAGAAGATTTATAGTGTTTACCAAAACACGTGGTTTGTTCCCTGAGGTCTTGGACACCGTAAGCCCTTCCCTCACCTGGAAGAGACGTGTCCCCTAAAAGATTTCCAAGAAGAGAGCAGGAAACTGATCCGTTGAAGATGCCACCTCTGATCAAAGTCCTCGATACTCTGACACTTTTGTAACTTTAGTAACTATCTCCCTTTGGACCCCCCTATTGGCCAAGAAGACAAACAATTTTTCAGGTAGGTGTTTGTTTTTTTTAATTGTGGTAAAATATACAAGCACAAAATTGACAATTGCGCAGGTCAGTGGTATCAGGTACAGTCACAATGTTGTGCACTGTCGCCACCATCTGTTTCCAGAACTTTTTCATCTTCCCAAGTTGAAACTCTGTGTCCATTAAACAATCCCCCACCTTCCTGGCACCCGTCCCCCCACCAACCTTCCATCTCCATGAACTTGACAACTCCAGGAACCTCGTGTAACGGGAATCACACAGTATTTGTCCTTTCGTGTCTGACTTACTTCACTCAGTGTGCTGTCTTCAAGGGTTCCCATGTTGTGAAAAGCATTTTTAAAATAGATTTAAATGGAGAATTTAAATCTTCTTTTATAAACATTTATGTTCAAGTAACTTATCCAAACCACATCTCAGCCTGTGGGAGCGCTGAGCCTGGAATGCCGTTTGTTTAAGGCTTCTGGTTACAGCCCTTCTTCCAAGGAGAAGGGCATTGCAGCATGACCCCAGCCGACTTTTTTCCTTCAGCTTCCTAAGTGAGTTCCTGGTGGCAGTCAAGGGGCTTTCCCCGGCCCTCCAGCTCGTGGTATTTCAAATGGTGCCTTTTCTACATCAAGTGTCTTATCTGCGTCTCTGATATGCGTATGTCCTTACTGTTTTTACAACAGGCTCCTGGGCCTGGGTATAGAAAGGATAAATCAAAGTGTCAAGGAAAATCGTTGGTTCGCAGAGCTGTTTCTTGGGCTCTGTTTAGTCTTTGCCCCAGTTACGTTGTGCATCTTAAAATCTGGCGCGAGGGAAGGAAGCTGTATGTCACAGGCGATGATGAAAATGATGGAAGTCAAAGCTCACCTGTTTCAGTCGTGTCAGCTCTGTGTCTTCTCTTGATGCTCACCTCAGCGAGCCTTTCTGCTGTGCCTTATTCTTCTAATTCTTTGAATTTACCCAAACATAAGTCTCGTCCTTCCAGCTGCACCCATCAGTTGGATATCCTTTTGAGAAACTGAAGTTTGCAAAGGGCCATTGACTTCCCCAAATTGAAGAGGCTTGGGGAATTTTCCTTTGAACGCAGAACATTCTATTTTTAAGTATTCTATTTATTGTTGGCAATTCCTCAGGAATTTCAATTTTTTCTCTACTGGTCAGTGTCACTTACATAAAGACTGTTTTAAGAATTAAAAATATTCTTGTTTTATTGCTCTTGCAGTTTGATATGAAGTAAAATAAAGGTTCTTGGTGATTTGGGGGAAAAACACAGCTATGTATATTGTACACAATACAAATTCTTCTATATGGAAACACTCCTTTACCCCACTCCCCTGGGGCTCAAACTATGCGCCGTGTGGCCGTGCGCCCACCCCGGAAAGTCTCCCCTTTCAGAGCTGCTGGTGCAGCTTTTCTCCCATTCTACATCACTTCCCAGCTGTTTTCCAAAAAAATGAAGAGCTGCAAAAAGCTAATGCATTCGTCGGTCCTCTCTGTCATGTCAGGGAGAGATGTGCAGTGGGCATGTCTGGGACTCACTTCTGGACGAGGTGGCTTCAGCTGGCGTCAGCAGAGGGGGTGCCGGCGTCCGCGTGTTCGCGGGTGGACGTGGGCGGGGTCGGCGCTCTGGGGAAGATTGGACAGCATTCATTATTTGCCTTGGGTGCCGACTCTGACAGGTCGAGTGCAGGGTTACTCAAAGTCCCCTGGGTACCTCATCCTTTGGAACCAGGTGGTAGGGGACCTCCCCAGAGCCGGGTACAGGCATTGCAGAGCTGGGGAAGAAAAGGAAAAGTAGGCGGGTTGACTGGCACCCAGAAACTTTGCTGTCTGCCTAGAAACGTGATCATTGACAGGCTGGAGACAGGGGTGCTGGACCACATGGATTCCAAACAATTACTTCCCTCAGCTGTTAGAGTTTCAAACGTGATCTATCGAGTGATGCTGACAGTAGATTTTCTGCCGGCAATAAAGGTGGCCTGATTCACAGAATAATTACTGTATGCAAATGAATGTGATTTTCCTCTGCCCTTTTATGGATGGCTCTGCTCTGCCGTTCATCAGGGCCACAAATTTCACTTGGGAGGAGATGGATTTAAAGAGACAGGCGCCCCCGAAGCTTTGCGGTGAACTTACTAAATCCATGCCAAGTGTCCTCATAAACAGGCGGGCATAGGCTGTGGTAGGGCTGCCAGAATCGGCCCCTTCTGCCTGTGCCTTGCTGCTTAGGCAACTGGGGAGGAAGCGCCTTACTCTGCACCCTCCCAGGCAGGAGGGGGACGCCTTCCGGGGCAGTGCTGCTGGACGTGGGGGCCAGGAGGCCCTGGTGGGTTTCTTCGCCTTCCATGGAGCCCACTGTGATGTTTGTGCACCTGGGTGAGGGGAAGGGGAGGAGCAGAAAGCCCGTGCTTGGATCTGGCACTGGTCCTGATGAAATTACGGCAGAAGTGATTGGAAGCAAGAAGTGTGTTTTTGCCTGACGCTGATGTGGAAGAAAACACACGGTGAAACCTGGCAGTAACAAGGAGCTGTTGGAATTGCACGTCTTTGGGCTGGGCTTCTCCGGGACCCCATAGCCTCCTCCTGAGTTCAGGGCATTTCTCTGAGCAGCTGTGCCGGTGCACCTGCCGGAAGGGGGGTTTGCTCCGTGCGACTCCAGTGGGAGGCAAGGCTGGGCAGCCCCTGGGGGGTGTACCGCGCTGTCAGTCCCTGCAGACCCTGAGGGCACAGCTCAGGGAAAATCCGCGGTACATAACGTATCACTGCCAAGTCCCAGCTTCTGAATTTGCTCCCAATGTGCGGCGTGCACCCCCTTCCTCCTCCGTGGAAGAAAGGGGACCACGAGTGACTGTTGTAAACAGGAACAGCCCCATCTGTCAGTGGGCTGTCCTGTTACTCATACTGCAACAACGTGTTGATGTCAGGACACCCAGAACACACTTCCTTCCACCACCACTTGCAGAATAAAGGAAAGACACATGGGTGTTCACGTGTTCACAAGCAGCGTCCGCCGCTGGAGGCCACCCCCGCCTTCCCCAAACAGGTGCCAGTCAAAATCGGCATTTTCTGAGAGTACTGAACAGGCGGGCTCGGTCTCCGGGAATTCCTCCCCTTCCTTGACTCCGGCAAGTCTCCCTAAGGCTCACTGGAGGGGCACGGGCGGTTTCACGAACCAGAGCAAACCACGACATTCTTTTCTCTTTCTCTTTCCTGAAGCGCAGTCAGTTTGCACTGTTGCGTCAGTTTCGGGTGCACAGAATAATGTGTCACCATATGGTGTTTTCCTCTCTCTATTTTAAAACAAAAATTCAGATCAATTCTTGACTATGATGCCTCTTCATAGGAAAACAAAATTTTCTCCCCTTCACAAATCAAAACAAGGAATGACACCTTGTAGTAGGAACTTGTGTTCTCCCTGAACCTCTTTCTTTAACACCAGGTGTGTTGTAACGGGGAAGACGCGATGCTCAAGGCGAGATTCAGTATTTGGTTACCCCCATTTGCAAAGCGGTCTTACCTTTGTACTCTACAGCGATACATCTGTGAGAGTAATTTTAGTAGGCAGAAGAGGAAATATCCAACAATCCACGGGAGAAATATTCTCAAGAAAAACTGATTCAGTTGAAAAATTTCTAAATAAC